GGGTCCTCCGGAGGACCCGACCTGTCGTTTTGGACACAGTCAAAGAGAAGGGACAATACACAACAACCTAAAGCCAGAGTTGTAAAGTAACTAAGTACAAATACTTTGTTACTGTACTTAAGTAGAATTTTTGGGTATCTGTACTTTACTTGAGTAATTATATTTCAGCCTACCTTTTACTTCTACTTACATTTTCACACGATTATCTTTACTGTATACTCCTTACATTAAAAAAAAAAAAAGGCAAGAAGTAGAAAGTTGTTACATTTATTACCTCCACCAAGGGTGAGGTAATGTTTTCAGTTACGTATGTCTGTCTGTCCGTCTGTTTGTCGTTCTGTCTGTGGACAACATTACTCAAAAACTTGCGGACGGATTGTCATGAAATTTTTATCACATGTGGATTCTGGCCCAAGGAACACTCCATTAAATTTTGGCGATGTTCCGGATCAGGATGCAGATACAGGAATTYTTTTCTTTTAACACACTGACATCAGCATAGCTGTGATGCTTTCACAGGGCCTGGGTTTCAAAGTGTCCAGCAGGTGGCACTGTAGTATTGGTGTGCCCCTTTGTAACTCTATTACAGGATGGGGGGAATTGGTCTTGGCGGAGGTTTGCACTCTCCGAGTGCTTCTAGTTTCATTTTTGCTTGTTTTCATTCCAGCTATGTATTGTAAATAAATACTATTCATATAAACTGTGCCTCCTAGATGGAGTGAAATTAATTGTGGTTGAATGAGAAGTATAAATATATAAAATTCTTATACCGTATTAGTTTGTACTCAAACAAATCATGTCACACTCCAGCAGGACAGAATCATTAAAATAAAAGTACTGTACTTAAGAAGTATTTGTATTTCATGAACTATATTATTGCATTTGGCTGCAGCCCTCAGATCGATTTTCATTTTGGGGAAAAGGTTTGTGCAGCCTTGATATATGTATATAAAATGAAACAGATAAACTAGTGCATCCTAAATTTAACATAAATTAATTATTTTAATACAACAGTCATTTCTGCAGTTTTTGGGGAGGTCACCTCCTAATAAATGTCATTACAGAAAATCTACTGTTCTTTTTAAATCAATAGCCTACTTTTACTTTTAATACTTAAGTACAAAAAATATCAGATACTTTAAGAC